CCACAACGACCCCTGGAATTGCGACTCGCCGCTTTCCTCCCGCTGTGATCCTGTCTGAGCTCTGTGTCTTGATTTGCCAACAACACACCTAAAACTTGTGAGCACGGTCGCACACAAAAAAGACCTAAACGTGCACAACACTGGGCACGTAACACTGCTCAACACCTAAATATTCACAACACTGCCAGTGACGCTGGGCACGTGACACTGGGCACGTGACTTGCGCAACGGCACCGACTCAGGCACACCAAGCGCCTGTGCGATCTCAGCGTGATCTCGGTGATCTCCGTCAGATCTCGGACCGGGGAGACGCGGGGGAGGGAGCGATAGCGAGGGGGAAGGAGAGAGAGGGTGCGGACGTGCGAGGCACCTCCGCATCCTCAGCTTGAGCCCAACAATCGGACGGTCTCACCTAATGCAGCAGAGGGAAGGCGATGTGGATTATGGTCGCGTGCTGCGGGGAGCCGAGGGATTCGGGGGTGATCTAACTAACGGCTTGCGTCGGCGCGCCCACTGGCGGCCTCCGAGCGCTCTCGCGTCGGGCGCGGCACGAGGCACGCAACTTGGTCGGCGCGCACGACGACGGTGGGCACTTTCGCGTCGGGCGCGGCACAATGCACGCCGACAGGTCGGCGCGCACCGTTGCGGCCTCAGGACGCAACCAGGCCGACCGTGGCTCAGCGACCGAGGTCACAGCCAGGCCAACCGTGAACTCAGCAACCAAAGGTGGACGCAGCCAGGCCGACCGTGGCTCAGCGACCGAGGTCACACATCAGCCAGGCCGAGAACCTCGATCACATGAACACGCGCTCGAGAGCCCCAGCTGATCTTATTACATGCACATGCAACCGCTCTTTACATGCGTCAGCAGAGAGCGTGTCAGACAGACGTAGGGGATTCCAGTCGAACGGTCTCGGCGGGGCAACGCTAGGGGTGCTATTCACCACGCAGCAGCGTTGGTCCGGCAAAGAAACATCGCTGTTTCGCGCCTGCCTCGCCGCCGCCGCCGCCGAACAAGCTGGGCGCGGCGACGCCCAGCTCCACACTGTGGATGATGCCGGCCGCCTCCATGTCGGACATCTCGTCGGCAACCTCGAGCTCGGGCAGCGCGGCAAACGCGGCGTACAGCCTGTCGGTGCTGACGGCCGGCTTTGCCGCGATGTACTCGACCAGCGCGCGACGCAGCGTGGCCGAGTTGGCCTCGTGCAGCGCGCCTCCCATCGTGCGGCGCCACGCCGGGACAAAACACAGCTCCGTGTCGTAAGAGGCGACCTTGCCAGAGGGCGTCGCCTAGAAGCAGCAGACGCGAGCCCGCGAGTGAGCCCAAGTCGCGCTGCCGCCGCGCGCCGCCTCCCGCGGGGCTCGCCGCCGACGCCGCCCCCTCTTCCGCAGCCTGCAGTGCGAAGGGGGTGACGAGCCAGCAACCCGCCGCCTCCTGCGCCACCAGCCGCCTGCCCAAGAAACCAACCTCCACCAAAAG